TTGTTTATGAATGCTCTGTTTTCCCCTTCAGAAGGCTAGACTAGGACTTCCAGTGAAGAACTGCATTAGCCGTGTCCTGCCTGTCGTACTGTATTTTTATGAAATGAGTCAAGTTTCAGGTGGGGTTTCTGTGAATTGTCATCTCACACTGTGAATGGCTCCAAAGAGCAATCCTTGTGTCCTTGCCATTGCAGTGCTTCCCCTGGATTCCAGCTGAGTGATTAACAGCAAAATGCAACTGGCCTGATACAAATGTGAGCTATGGAACCTGTTAAAATAACCTGTGCTGTTTCAGAGCCAATAAAGTGTGCTGCTGTGCAGATTTACAGGCTCCTGGTAATGGAGATTATCATTAATCTGATGAAATCCAACTCAACAGGGAGCACTTCTAACGGTACAAGTCACACATTTGATGTGTTCTGTCATTTATTTTGTGGTGATGGTCTGCTTCTTCTGAGGCAATTTCTATATGAAGTAATAGCTTGAGCAAACGTGTTTTATGTGAGAGTGAAATACTGGCTGGGTCAAGTGCCAAGAGCATAACTTCACATTGCAGAAACAAAAAGAATGTGTTTTAAATCCAAATAGGTCTTTGTAGAACCCGAATAACACTTCTAAGAGTATCATGGTCTTTAAAAGTCAGGTTTTAAGTAGAATACTTATATTTTGTAAGTCTCCTATCTATCTCTTGTTGCAGAAACATGGAACAAGTAAATAAAGGGAAGTCTGTAAATCAGCATATTTACAGTATTCTTAATATCTTCTTCTAATTAGTCATTATAGCCTCATCAGAGCAGTTCCAAAGGATGAGTTTTATTAGCTTGGCTGATTGGTTGGAAGTCAACATAGTGAATGTTGGTACTCTCAGATCCAGAGCACATTGATGTTGAGAGAGATTCCCACTAGTTTCAGTAGATTGTTGTTTAATTCACATCAAATGAAAATACTGTGCAGATCTTACCATACGCTTACTTTTTGTAACAGTTTCTTATAGTTTTCATGTATTTACAAAAGTCTTCTTTTTAAAAAGTTGAATTAAAGAATTAGTTATTTCTATTCAGACTTGAACACTGATCTTACTTTCTCTTCAACGTCATCTGTTCTGTCACTGAGTGACACAACATTTTTTAAGTCCAGCAAAGTCCGGCTGAGTCTGTGGCATTACTCTGCCAGTATGTTTACATGCATGTGGTAATTCCAGTGAACCAGTTATCTGAGCATATTATGTGTATTTGGATGTATATATGTACATTACCTTGCTTGCAGTGAATCCCACCAGCTGTTTACAGATGTTGGCAGTGTGCAGTTTGTATGCTCTGGAGGGGGCTACTGATCTAAATGATGGACAAACTTTTGTCCTGTTGTAGCAATTATTGTGCTATGATTATTTTAGAGCATACAGTCTTCTTATTGATCAGATCAGTAATTAGTTTTGACTTTAATAAAGGCTGTTGCTGATCAGCTCATCATTGTGTTAATGCAAATTGTAGTGGCATGACCCTATTGTTGATTTTGTTGTCAGTCAAAAGTACCAGCAGTTTTAATGCTTCATTTATATGAAATGGAGCCACAATGAAACCAGATTGGTTTCATGGCATAGTAAAATACTGTGGAAAAGTATGTAGATACTGTGTAGTGGAAGAGGGAAATATATCATGTCTTTTTGATATATTTGAAACACTTTTAATGATTAATGCTTAATTCATTGTCCTTGCCAAAGTTCAGTGAGTGGTATGAGTTCGTGTTAGGCTGCATCTATGGCTACTGCATTTTCTATAGTTTAATGTTAAATGTGCAAGGTTTTCATCCAGAAAATGAACTGTGAAGCAAAAAATGCATAAATATTTCCCATATATTTTGAAAAGATTCTGACTGGAAGAGGTCACACTGGTGACTCCAGTAGGCAGCATCCCTACTAGAGCTGTCTGCTTTCTCTCAGCTGGGCTTTGGAAAGCAGTGTTTGAGTTTCAGATGCATAATGGCACCACTTTCTTTCCTTCTCATGTACAATGTAAGAAATCATCAACAACAGGCAGCAAATGTTCCCTGAATTGGGGCATATTTGTTTTTTAACTTTACTCCTACTGACAGCTCACCTCACACGAGACCCTGTCCCTGGAAGCTCTGAGAGTTGATATGCAGTTGTTCTGTGCTCAGGACCAAGAGTAATAAGGCTTAATAGGAATTTCAAACTACAATTGAGTGGAATTCTGTAAATTCTTTAACTTTTGTTCCCCATCTCCCCACAGTAGAAAAAAAATAAAATAATATAAGTATGTAATAAATGTCTTTATGATAGGATTGCACATTCCTTATATTGAAAATGGGAAATTCAAGTCAAGCAGGGCATGACTTTATTTCCTAGGCAGAGTAAATAAAATGAAAGTTAGATTCTATTTCACAGCAGTTTCTTAGAATTTGTTCTGAAATGCCTGAGTAATGAGTCTGTAAGTTATTTTTTAGAGATATCAAGATAAATTTTTGCAGTTTTTTGCTCAACATTTGGAGAATATCATGGAATATTATAGATTTTTATAAAATTTGTTCTTAAAGCTGCTTTGAAATGAAGTCTCTAAATGATTAAATTTTGCATTTGTTTTCAAGCCCCAGATTGCCTAACTTCAGTACTTACTATTACTGTTTATTTTCAAAGCTGAAGTCATTTGTTGAAAGGTGAATCATGTCAGAGTTTAGTTGTTTGGAGGTTGCCTCATCTAAATGGTGTTTAAGTAGAAAGACTGAATTTAAAGGAATAGCACCTCACTAATTAATAATTAATTAATATTTTCATTATCTCCCTAACCAATATGTGCACTGGACTTGGGGGTAAAGAGTAGAAGAACCTGTCTTTGGCTCTCTGTGGTTTCCCAGTTCCATTTTCTTTCTGAAAGAAGAAATCAGTTGCTGATATTTGTTAAAGTGAACATTGGGGGAGGTTTAATCTCTGTGTATGACCAAGTTACAATTCAGCTTTGAAGGAACTGAGTATTATTTTAAGCTTATTTTTTAGTGTTCAAGAGGCAGCTATACCATGATGTAGCCAACATAATTCTGTTTAAATTAAATTTGTGTCATGTGATGTCCAATAATGCATTTCCCTCACCTGTTGCTGCCTCAGAAATAAAATCCAGGAGCTCATCCTGTTCCCAGCAGAATTCAGCAACATTGCTGTTAAATCCATGGGGATCAGAACAGGAGTTTTAAATATTTTTTGCAGTGGTAAATCTTAGTTTTCAGAGAGACATTAGAGCTGTCTTTGTGAATTGGATGTTTTCTCCTGAGGCAGATGTGGTGTTATCTTTGATCATGAGACCTTTCTCTCTGGTCTGGCACAAATAACCTGGGTTATCCTGCCTCTGTTAGGTTAAAATGGTCCAGGTGATGCTTCAACATAAACAGCACTATAAAACTTAAGCCAGGTCCAGACATCTTCAAAGCTTTCCAGAGGTAATATTCATATTCCCAACATGGGATTTCAAAACAGATTTAGAAAGAAAAACAAGTGATCAATGATATTTCTGTAAGTTACACTTGTGCCACAGGATATTTAACTTCTACTTTCGATATTGGCAAAAATATTTGATAGCATTCAGGTAAGTATGCACCTCCTATGATAAAACAATGGATTTCAAACTTCATCTTGCATGTGTATTTATTGCAAGAATACAGTATAAACCCATAACACAAATGCTTTCTTCGTTGTTTTCTTCTTATCAATTGCACATTTGTACAGAATGGATTGTTGGGCAGTATTTTAGTGCATGATTTCAGTATAAACACCTTCTTTGCTTTCTACCATCCCTTGTCCATAACACATAAGATATCCTTAAGAAATATGCTGCCAAAGAAAGTATTGCCAGTTGTTTATTATGAAGTTTGGTTCTTCCACTATTGAAACCAGTGGTGAAACTCTTCTGGCCCACGGTGGGAATAAGATTTTCCATAAGCAAAAATAAATTGTTTTAATGTGTAGTATGCATAACTTTCACTGGTGAAGTGGACTTTGTGTAATATAATAGCATTTTGTCAGATGTTGAAAATGGGCAGTTACTTTTTTTTAACACTTGAGAGGGTGTTCTGTGGTGTTCTGGTTTTGGATTGTGCAACAAATTTGTGCTTGCTTGTAATAGAAGTGGGAAGGGTAGTCTAAGCTTTGGCTTGAGCAAAGAAAGTGCAGAGAGACTGAAACCATATCCCTTTTCCAATGTCGGAGCCTTAGAGTAGTTCCCTTCTATCAACAGATTTACCTTGTTTTTTAATTTCTCTTTTACTCCAAAGCAGATCCATGCTGCCTAAGGGATACAATGGACAAATTCCTAGAAGAATGTCATTGTTAGGCCTGGGAGACTGGATCAGGGAATTCAGTTCTGTTTTATTGCCTCAATCCTGGCACTTATTATAATTACTCATAAGATCTCCTTCCCATTAATTACTTCAACTCAAGTTATAGTCTAAAGAAAGGAAAACTGATCAGTAAACCAGGCACTTGCAAATTTGTCAACAGCCTTCAGTACCTCTGATGCTTTCTTTAAAAACAACGTAAAGTTTCTAAGCACAGTGTTTCCAATAAACCACTTTTCTGAACAAATAACGTGGATAAAGATGAACATGAGTGGTTGCTGGGAAGTGGTTCACATTGACATTCATTTCCACTGGCACTGTTCACTTTAACAAGAGCAAGATTGCACCTGTTTAGTGGAACTCCTTTCAGATTAATAAATAACTGTGAAACATGTATTTCAGTATGTTTTAATATTTCAGCAGGTTTTCACTTTAATGTTGAAAATCACACTATGCTTTTTATCACAAAGTACTGCGTGATGGGATGTTAAGGATACGAGGATGTCAAAGGACAAAGAATTGTACATGTGTAGTAGACAGGTACAATTATTATGTATATATGTTTTTAAGATACTTGAAGGCCTTACAAGCAGCTTTTCTGTAGCTACTGATTACAGATACATATATCCTTGATTTTCTCTCTCCCTTTTTTCCTGCAGGGCCAAGGCTTTTCGTGGAAAAAAGGTCCATGGAGAATATGACATAAAGGTTGAACAGGTAACTGACTTAATCTGAATGTTATTTTTGTATTTGTGTATTTATACAAATACAGATATATAATACATACCTCCCGGGAGGAATTGAAAAGGCATGTAGGTGTGACTCTTAGGGACATGGTTTAGTGGTGGCCTTGGCAGTGCAGGGTTAATGGTTGGGCCCCTGATCTAAGAGGGATTTTCCAGCCTGAATGATTCCATGATTCTATGTGCATATGTGTACAGACACACACGGTCTCCTCCCATCCCACTGGGAGGGAGTGACTGAGTTGCTGTGTGGGACTGAGCTGCCAGCTGGGGTTAAACCACAACAGCCCTTTTTTGGCACCCAATATGGGCTCTTTTTACAGGATTTTGACCATAATTTGCACAACATGAAAAACATCTTGTATTCAAAAGTTGTTGCTTAGAGACGTTGAAGTTCCCAGACACTCCATGAATGACTTGTGGCATTTCTGTATCACTAATTCCTCACTCAAGAATATAAATGCACTCTGGTTGCAGTGCTAGTGTGTGGGGTTTAAAAAAACCCTGTAACAAATAGGAATAAATATGGGGATATATTCAAGGTGTATTAGAATTATGGCTTTTTTATTTAAGCTGTATATCTGAAAGTAGGGAAGTAAATAGGTCTTTTACTTACTTTTCTTAATTTATTTACTTTTTCACCGCTTTTCAATCTTGAATTCTACAACTAGATCCCGCTGTAAGAAGCATCAGTACTTAAACTGAGTTGTTTTGTCATAGAATTTCAAAGAGTGAGGGAAAATGATCACTAGCTGTGTGGATCCAGCTTATCTAAATTCACTGTAATAGTACAGCATCCATTCTTTACACCATTGAATATCTGCTGATGCTCTTGGCTTGGAAACATGCAAGGCTTTGCCAGAGATCTTCAAGAGTTTTGAGGGAGAGGCAGGAAAAAGAAGACAAGCTATTTTGTCCCAAAGTGCCATTCACACCTAGATCAGAGCACACATTTGACATCACACACACTGTCTCTTTAATAGGAACAACAGCTCAGTTTAAGCCTGGAATTTCCTTCGTAGGGTCTGTTGTGGGACCAGAATTGCCTTTAATCAGTGAGAGACTGGAAGTTTCTGAGCCACACTGATCACTTTGTAACACATCAGCACTGTGACAATTGAATATAAATAGTTATTCACAACTGCTTCAGAGTTCCATTGCTGACACCAGAGCAGTATTTTATTTTACACTGCCTACAGCAACCTATCTTAACACAACAATATTTTCTATCATGTATTAAGCTTTTAAAATGATTTCTTATTTGGAGAGTTCAGTTGTCAGTCTCAGATTCAATAGATGGTAAACGATTCTTTGACCTTGTCAGTACTTACACAAATATTTCATTCTCCCACCATTTATACTGTTTTTAAAAAAACTTAAAATGTCCCCTGTGCTCGGAATGTTCTGATGCTGATCCCAGAAGGTGTAAAAGTGTAGGGGATTTAAAGGAGAGAGCTGTGTGCTGGAAATCAAGCACATACTGCAGCAGTGGAGTTGGAACAGTGGTTGGAAGAGTCAGCACTCCCTTCACTGGGCACCAAACTGTGAGAGCCTCACACAGATTTTACTGGGGAAGACTTTCAGTGATACCATTTTTCAAGAGGAGACTAATGAGAATTGTGACACTCTCTATTCTGTGCTGGTGTCCGGGACAGCAAAGACGCTTTTATTTATCCCCCAGAAGACAGTTGGCTGCATTTCAATTATTCTGCTGGGTAATGTTATTGTAAAGTGCCTTGAGAGTCTAAGCTGGTGAAAGACTGTGGATAAATGAAAAACATCCTGTCCTTTCTTTTCAAATAACTGTAGATTCAGAGTATGGAAGTGGTTCCTTTTAAATTCCACATTTCCAGTGTGAGAAGACTTTTGAAAAAGTTCTTTAATTGTGAATTTTGTGAGACAATAGTTCATTAGCACCAGATCTTTTTAAAAGAAGAGTAAATGCACGTGAAGGAAATAGAAAGGGCTAAGCTATATGAAGAGACACTAAATTCTATAAGACAGTATTATTTTTATCCCAATGATTTTAATGCTGCTTTTGTACTATTTTCTTCAAAACGTTATGTAAATGTTAGGTCTGTTTGATAACACCATGCAAAGCAAAAATATAATCCCTACATTTCTATGCAGACATGAACAAGTAAATCCACTTGCTACTGCCCCACAGGCCATTTTCATCAATGTTTTTTTACTTTTTGCTTTATTTGGATTAGAATTTGTTCAAATATGATGTGCCATACTTGGCAAATACTGTTGGATTAATGTCCTCTTGGTACTCATTATATTTCAAAGGTATATTGTCAGCAGTTCAGACACTAATGCTTAAAATAAGGGACTTGGGAAAATAAAGATAAAATAAACCAGACTGACTAATGTGAGCCTTGTTTTCATAGGCAGAATTTTCAGAAATCAACTTGATAGCCCATGCTGATGGCAATTATGCAGTAGATGTCCAAGTAATTCGAAATGGCACTAAAGTTGTCAGGTAAGAAAAACTGAACAGAACAACAACAAAAAGCAATTAATGGCATAATGTGTAAAAGGTGCTGAATGGTCTTTTTGTATGTATGCAATAGGGGGTTTGACTGATGGTCATGAAAAATAGGGAAATAAAGTATCTGATCACTGCAGTATGTCCTGCTCGTGACAGGAAGGGCATATCTTGACATTTTGATCATAGGAAAGATAGGTTTGATTAAGAAGGGAATGAACTTCAGTATAAAGAATACATAATTGGGAAATAGGGTTATTGATTTAGGTTTTATCTTTGCTTTGCAAATACACACAGTCTTGGTGAGTCTGTACTTGCCAGACTTTCCTAGTATTATTTATTTCCAATGTTGAATATTTGCTGTTGAAACAGGCCAAGGAATAACACTTCTCTCAGGCCAGTTACTGGAATATCACTGTCTGAAAGATTTCAGTTTAAATGCCTGAGATTTCCCAATAGGCTGTTTTGTCCAAAAAAGATGATGCTAATTGAAGACCTAATAATTTAACATTATTTTTTTCAGTGAGACATCAACAGCCTTGTAAATGTAAGGGGAGAAAACAGGGGTATGTCTGGGCAACGTAAAAGCTTAAGCAAAATTATATCAGTCAGTCCTATATTTTATCTAAATTGTGAAATTGCTCCTATTTTGGCTGGTGCAGTTGTGTGAGTGAAGCCTAGCAGTTTTTTGGCTGAATTGTAATCAGAAAGGTAGAGCCAATAGTGATCTTGGATTTTACTGCTCATGTTTTTCTGTGGGCAAGAGTGAGAGGTCAGGGAGCTGGACAGCATGTCTTGGATCTTCATGGCTTTGCACAACATCTGTCCAAATAAAAGATGTGAAAATTTTTACTCATTCATGTAATGAAAGTCAGGGAAAAAAAATGAAAATATGTTTATGCTTCAAAACTCACAACTGTTTAATATGTTACATGTTCTGAAAATATTGCAGCTTAATACAACAACAATAATCTTGTGCCAAATCCACAAAATTATTTCCTAGGGTTGGTGGGATTTTTTTACCCAATGATACAGGTTTTGGAGCCAGGAAATCTTGATCACTGTTCCTTAGTGGCTTTTCTGTAGGGAGTTTTCCAAAAAAAAGAACAAAAATATTGAGGCCAAATTAACATGAAAACATGTCAATAGTTTATGAGTTGAGAACCTCCAGAAAACAGCATCTACAAAAGTGTATATTTGTAGTTCATGAGAAAACTTAGCAAAACTGCTGCTTATGTCATCAGATAACTCTGATAATGAGATGACAAGGGATTTTGTAATCTCGTCAGTTTTATGGGTAATTTATTTATCCAAAAAGAACTGCCTGAAGTTGATAAACGTCCCTCAAACCTGGTGTGAGATACCTGCATGTGTGTGTGTGTTTTGTGGAGTGAGAGGGAGATTGAGACATGATGGGAGAGCAGTTTTCTGTTTCTGTGATAACTAGAGATATGTGTTATTAATTTGAGGTCCAAAGTGACCAGATTTATGGGCAGAATATTGGTTAGCAAAATCAGAGCAATTTCAGTGACAAAATTTTTCTGTCTCAGTTTAGGTGGGAAAAAAAATGTGTAACAGGCACCTACTTGTTTGGTTTCTGGGAATGAAAGTCAAATCCTGAAAAATTATATCTTATGCTACATGAGGCTGAGGTTTTGGATCTTACAGGTGCTTAAGCCAGGCTTAAGATTTTTCTCATGACCTTTTTCTGTATACAGTCACTGGCCAGCATTAATTACAGAACTAGAACAATTATGGGAATGTATCATATTCCTTTGAGGAGCTTTTGCTAAGGAAAAGATATTTCTTTATTTTTAATTTTTAAAAACTATGTTCCCTCAATTCCCCAATTGTTTCCTTAAATGGGTCTTTTAAAGGACATTTTCTGTTCTTTTATTTAAAACCATGGTGCTGTCTATGGATGTGTTATCCCCTTAGCACTGTTTTAGGTGATGGAGGTGGTCTCTTTCTTTCACTGAAGGATCTGCAATTTTGGTTGTTAGTCCTATAAGTATTAGAGGCTAGTAAATTGGATTTCCATGTTTCAAATTCTTGACACAGCACCATGAAACCCAGATCACAAATTCTTAGAGCTGTGCTGCAAACATATCTTAGGAAACCTATTTAAAGGCAGTCATTTCTTTACAAGTTTTGGTCATTGAGCTACAGTGCTGTTTTAATGACTCTTGACAGCAAATCTATAATGTTTCTTTTGCCAAATCATGCAAGTCTGGTTTGGGTTTTATTTGCACTGTCAGTGGTAAAACACTGGCACAGGTTGCCCAGAGAAGCTGTGGCTGCCCCATCCCTGGAAGTGCCCAAGGCCAGGTTGGACGGGGCTTGGAGCAACCTGGGCTGGTGGAAGGTGTCCCATGGCAGGGAGTGGAACAAGATGGGCTTTAAAAACTCCCTTCCAACTCAAACTGTTCTATGATTCTGTGATTTGAAAGCCAAGTTAAGAATCCAGATAATCTACTTTGACTACTGCATTCAGGCTGGAATCTCAAAATTGCTAAAGCCATGTTAAACATGGATTTTAGTTATTTTGGCTTGTTTTCCTGGAGTGAGACCTTCTGAATCATTTTGTGATCTTCAGAGTTTCTCATTCCAGTATACAGCTTCTATTTATTCAAGACATGTAAATAATTACTCTAATTTACCCCATAGTTACACATCTTTCAGGAAGTTGATAGCTTCAAGCTACTCAGGTTTTTTTTCCAACTATAAAATTGGAATGCAGAAGAAACTCTTTCAACAGTGAAGTTTAGGAGCAAATTGCCCCTGTGCTGGTGGCTCTCTCCTGTTGTACTGTTTCTTCTGTTTTCCATAACCTTCTTCAGTAACTAAATGTCAGGGTTTGAGTAAAGGTGGTGTCAGACTGTTCTCAAAGGGGCAGGGTGATAGGGCAGGAAACCACAGGCACTGCAGCAGGGGAAATGCTCATTAGATACAAGAGGGAAAAGAGGGCTAAAATGCAGTTGTAAGTTTAGAAATTCATTTTGACAAATCTCTTGATCAAAAGCTGAATTGTGATTATCTCCATTTTGGTGTGATGCCTTTTGGCAGCAATGGTGTTGCTTCATCTCTTACTGTCTTGAAAACAGCCTGACAATAGTTATGGAAAACATTTTTTCCCAAAAAGCTTACGTTTCTGGCAGAGCCAATTGCCTGCTTTAGTTTTGATTGTCTTTGCTCAGAAATGGGAGTACACAAGCTTAAGAACATGCTCAGAGTTTATATATGTGATTTTTATATGTGTGTTTCTTTCAGGAAAACAACCCGAAATCAATGATAATTTCTCTTTCCTCTTAATGGAGTCACATTATTGAGGAGATGCTGATGTTTTCTGAACATCAGTTGAAAAATGATGCAGTGCAGATTTTCATAGAGCCATCACAAGTCTTTTCCATCTTGTAGCATTTACCTTTGGTTCGAGTGGTCTTTCAGCCCTTCTCTACCCCTCGGTTTTTCCCTTTGAATAATTTGCTCTTGAAGGAAAAACACTCATATCATTGACTATTAGCAATGTCTCTTTTTCCTGCTAGATCATTCAGGCCTGACTTTGTCCTTGTTCGACAACATTCCTTCAGTATGGCAGAAAATGAGGATTTCCGTAACCTGATCATCGGGCTGCAGTACGCTGGCATCCCCAGTGTCAACTCCCTCGAGTCCATCTACAACTTCTGTGACAAACCCTGGGTGGTAAGTGATGCACCCAAAACTTCTGCTATTGCTGCAAAGCCAGATAGTGCCTTTTTTTTGATTGCTGCTTTAGTTCCCCTTCATGAATATTGACTATCAGATTGCAAAGTTACTCTGCTGAGCAGTGAAGCAATAGTGAAAGGAATAAAAAGTAAGCTTAAATCATTTTTGTTTTCAAAGAGACAGTGTGGAGACAGAGAGAAAAAAATATTTGTAGTACAACCAGTGATCTAAGTGAGGAAGCTAAGGGAAAGGCTGTCCCCTGCTAACATACTTCCTCAAGTGAGGAGAGTGTGTTTATTCACAATTTGTCTGGGAAAAGCAAGCTGAGAATATTTTTCATATTTGTGGTTTTGAGCATAATTTAAACAGACTTTAGCCAGTGTTTTCCTTGTGCCTGTGAAATTTTGGGGGCTCTGCTGTAGCAAGGAAATCTGAAGCTACTCGTTTCCTCATTTCAAAGCCCTTTTCATGATCCTGTGCCTGTGGGGTAGGAGTTGCTCCTTTCAGTTACACCTGGAGAGTCACTGGTCTTTGCCAGTTTTAGTGTAGGAGCCAATGCAGTTTTTCTTAACATGCTTTGTAGTGATGGAGGTAGAATTTGGTGGTCTTTTTGATTCATAGAGAACTGAACATTGTTAGCCACAAATTACCCATGGTGCAGTCACTATTCCTCTAATAGGTGCATTCAGCTGTCCAAGACCTGACAGAATTTTAAAGAATCCCACATGTTATAAATAGCCAAAATTTCATTTTTTTCTCTGATGTCTGGGTAGGAAAAGAACAGTTGTCAATATTTTTCACACTGAAGAAAAGTTTTACTCTTATACTTTTTATTGCCTTGAAGATGTTTATTTTTTCACATTTACTATGAAAATCCCTCCAAAAAATTGTCAGCAGATTTGAACATATACCTTCTTGCAGCTAATTTTATTATACTTTTATGTTGCAGCAAACTACTGGAGGGAATAAATAATTAATAGAGCATTTATAACTTCTCAGAACACATAATGTACAGTGCTGGATTAATTATTTTCATAAATTACATTTTCTAGCTGTGTGGCATTTCTCAATGGTTTGATTCACTGTATACAATAAAGCTGGGAAGCAAACCCAGGAGCATTTATTTGAAATGATGATGCAATAAAAAGTAAATTAATAATTCCTCCTTACACATTGCCATATCTGTACCTTTGGGTTTTGCAAAAATTCTCCTTTTTTTAGCTGAAATTTCTCTAGCTTGTCTCAGAATAGATATGAGTGAAATGAAAATATTTTTCAGATAATCTTAGTTGAATATAGAGATGCTGAATATTTTTCCCTTTGAGATTTTCTACCTTGCCACTTGTACATCTGACAGCCAAAATATGTTTTCTTTTAAATACCCAAGTTTTGCAGAGCTTCAGCAGGAGTCACATTTCTTATGTTTTTCCTCTCAGAAATAACTATTGTAGAGGCATTTTAGCATCAGACAGGTCACATGCTCCAAACTAATTTCCTTCATGTTTTGATTATCTGACGTAGTTCCCTGAATTGTTTTCATGAAGGTGGATAATAGATCAGGGCCTGCATGTGCCCCCACTGCAGGTCTGTGGACAAGGAGGTTGAACAGCAACGTCCACGTGCTGTGACTGTGGCCAGGCTTGGCTCCACCACCCATCTCAGTCCTGGGTTTTAACTACCCACGACCGTAAACTAAGGCTGGAAACCTGAGATTGGTTCCATTTCTGACTATGGGTGGCACTGTCCCTTAGCTGGGTCCTAATTAGGAGTCTAGACTTTTAATGTGAGCACAAAAATAATTTCTGTACACACAGAAGGGGCTTTGTTTGGCTGTTTAACCTGGAATATCCTACCTTCAGTTCTTTGTGCTCCTGGGAGATGTAGACACAACAGTGGATATCCCAGAGCATCAGATTTAGGAAAGGTGAACACTGGAAGGAGACATGCAGGCTGGTGGGATTGTTGGGATGTTCTGTGCAAGGCCAGGAGTTGGACTTTGATGATCCTTGTGGGTTCTTTCCAACTCAGGATATTCTGTGATTCTATGGAGCTGTTTTAGCCCACGCCCAGAATAGATACTGTAAGGGTAAAACTCCATTAATCCCTTGATTCAGCTGATTTAATGAATGTTCGAATATTGCAGCAGAATCCAGGGATTGTTGGTTTTGCCAATATCATCTTCTACCTTGTTGCATTACACCTTTCTCATGCATCCTACCTGCTTGTGAGAAATCCCTGCTACAAACTGTTTGGGATGCCTGGGAGTGCACTCCTCAGTCTGTTGCTGTATTAAGGGTGAAAAGCACTGATGCTGCTGTGCTCCAACAGAAAGCACATTCTGCAGTCTTGACATCCATGTCAGGTTTGCAATAGTGCAGGTAAGGAATCACATGCTTGGACTTACCCTCCACGTGTCTTTCTGCACAATTCCTTTGTCAAAACCAATGACCTGATATTTGTATGAAAGTTATTTCTATAAACATTGAAAGTTCAAAAGCCCTAGGAAAAACTGGAAAGGAGAACGCCAGATAAAACCATAAGTAACAATCTGTATTAATTCATGAGAAATAGGTTGATTTTCCTGCAGGTAAAATTTGAGTGGCGAAGTGAATTGCAACTTGGATAACAGCAGAAAAAAAAAAAGGGTGTGCAATGGAATGGGCTTTTAAAGAATGGGAAATACTGAATGGGCAATTAATCTTACTTACATCAGTGCAAAATTAGGAGCAGTATAGAACTAGGAAGGGAAGTCTGGGAAGTTACACTACTTATAAAAGGGCTCTCAAATAAAATGAGAATACAAGACCCTTGGTTTTTAAATTGCTGTTCTTCAGAATGTCAGGTGTTTGGTGTTTTTAGAACTCACAGCTCCAGATGCACAACATCTCTTTTCAACCCTGAGGGCAGATTCATAACCTGCATCACAAACTGAAGCACCTGCCCTTAATTTTCCAGCAGGACTCTTTTTGTGCTCTGCCTGCAGACACACCTGCGTTTCTGTGCATTTGCCAATAAACAGTGAACAAATTTGTATTTGACCTGAATTATATTATTGGAAGATGGGGTGTGGTGGGAAGATTGCCAGGAACATACTGAAGTCTTAAAGCTTGTCTTCTCTGGTGTCAGGACATACATAATTCCTTCAAATGCTTGTCAGAAGTTCAGAGCATTGTATAGCCTGGGTGTGAGCAATGTGGCAAAGAAAATGTTGAAATGACTGTTTGTGGTGAGATGTTTGAGTACTGAAACATATTCATGATTTGGGGTTGTTGCAGTGCTCGGTTATTTAACTTCTGTGATAACAACACCTACCTCATGAAAAATTCATGATCGTGGCTTGAGATTAATTCCACTTAAATGCCAGTAAGAATGTCAGAAAGTTACTTAGCTAGGGGGAAAGCGTGAGTTTTATAAATAAAAACTGAGTTCTTTATTGCTGAGTTCATGCAGAGCTGGGGAGGAACCTCATCTGTTCTTGCCCCCGTCTCACCACGTTAGAATGTTTCATTGCAGTGTCACGTGGCAAGAGAATAGTCTTGTGTGTGACATGTCCCAGTCAAATGAGATTAAAATTTTAACTAGATTAATTTACAGCTGCATTGAATTAAGGTGAGGCAAAAACTTATACTATCCTAGATGGATTCCCAATCCATCTTACAGTTTCATTCATGTCTAATGTGTGGATCCTATTGTAAAGCATTATGAAAAGAAAAAGTAAAGAGGAAAAAGAGCATGACTAATTACCCGAAGTTATGATTTGATATTATTTAAAGTAGCAATCTAGACATTTCATTATGCTGTTTTCCTTTAGAAAATGTCATTCCAGAAATAAATGAGACTTTTCTTTACTAAGGCTTAAAAGTTGTATGTAAACTTTCTCATAGTACATGATGTCACCATCCCTGGAGGGATTTAAGACATGTAGCTATGGGACTTAAGGGCCTGGGTTAGTGGTGGACTTAGCAGGTTAATGGTTGGTCTTGATGATCTTAGGGGTTTCTTCCAACCTATATGATTCTGTGGATCTATGTAGGTGGGTAAAATAACTGGAAAATGTGATGATGATGTCAGTGCTTGCAGTAATAGGTAACATTTAAGGATTCAGACTGGGGAAATAATATTTTTAAAATATGCTAATAAGTGGAATTAGGAAGGGAGGGAGAGTTAAGTGGAGTATACTAAACATGAAGACCCTGATTTACTTGTCAGGGATTGCAAGGTTCAATGTCCATGGCTGCTGTAGATAGAATATAGCTCTTTTTTTTTAATTTCAGTTAAGCCTGCACTGTGATGTACTCATTACATGCATTAAAGGAGCTGGATTGCATCATCTGGGTTCTGATAGATAAGTATTTCAGTGCTGCAGAGACCATGGAATTGCTGCAACTGTATAGAAAAACTGTATATGACTGAAGAGAAAGAAAATCCTCATAGAATCACTCCAATTCCATGAGTGTAGTTCTGCTTACTTTACTGCAGAGGAAAAACTTAGCAGCACCTGCAGCTGATTGCACATGTTCTCCTGGGAGTGTGTGCGCCTCGGGAGGCTGCATGGTAGGGGTTGGTGTATGAGGCTGCCAGGATGTGCTGATACCTAAATTACACATTTACTCTGCTGAAGGAGGTGGCAAAACCTGACACGTAATGGTGGGTTTGCAAAAATCATTCGCACTTGAGCACTGTGACCTCAATTAGCTGTTGCCACGGTGATGGAAGGGCCTGTGTTTAGCTTGAAATACTGACCTGATGGAATCACAGAGGGATGTAGAGAGGCCACTGTGGTGTGTCGAGCTCCGGCAGAGCTGTGCCAGCCTGTGAAGAGGCAGCTGGCAGTGTGGGGATGGAAAACTGGTGCTGAGCAGGCTTGGCCTCAAGCAGAGGACGGTGCTGCCATCGTGACACACTGGTCCATCGGTCCAGGGATGTGGGGATGAGAGGAACCAAATAGGAAGTGTTTTTTGGGCAAAAGCTGACAGAATGGAAGGCAGAGATACCTG